AAATCACGATGTATCTCGCTGCATTGCACGTGTACACTTCTAGTAAATATATAATAGGCTTTAATCAATTGAAAACTTCAAAACTTTAGAGGTTCATTATAACAATACCTCTAACAAATTATTTATAGTTTATATAAAATAAAGAATCAAAATCTTTAAAAAAAATTAATTCCTATTTTAAATATCTTAACATCCATTATATTATTAAAATGGTATATAAATGTATCCGTCCAATACACCTTTTCAAAATAATTCATATAAATTAATAATAATTCAACTTTATGAATTAAAAACTTTAATTATATTATAAATTAATTTTATTTTATGAACTTTTTTCATGTTTTATGATATTCTACTTTGTTCGTCGATATAAAAATTCATTTTGTTTTATGCCTTGGTTTTTTTTTTTCTATAAAAGTCATGAGTTGTTTGTTTATCTCTTAATTTATACATATACTATCTTATTAAGCAAATTTAGCAAAAGTTTTAAAGTCTTAAAATACTAAATGACCATAATACCATTTATACTATCCTTACATCATTTTTTCACCCCCTCATCTCCTCACATACACTCACCCCTTCACATACATTCATCCTCTCACAACCGATATTTTTTAAAGGGGTTGATATTGATACCCCCTTACGTCACTTTTTCACCCCTTCCCCTCACATACTCTCCTCCTCACATACTCACCCCTCTCACATTCAACCTAATTTTTAAAAATTAAAATATTAAATTTATATTTTTTACCACTATAATTAGTTAATTAATTTATTTTACGTCATTTACTTTTAAATGTTTCATTTTAAATCTTTATCAAATTAACATACATAATCGTATATCAATTAAAACATGTTTAAAAAATACATTTTTATTTTAACAAATTACACCATTTATAATCGTCTCGTTAATACCTTCGAAATGAGTCCAATATTGAATAGTTTTTGACTTAATTATATATTATATATATAATGAAAATGTTGGCTCAGCAGACTCGGTGTTCCCTCGGCAGGTCAAATCCTCGTCCTTAAACCCACCGCTCCTGTAGCAATGCAGGAGCATCTCACATCGGTGAGGCTAGGGAGTCTTCTCTTCCTTATAAGGAAGTGGGAGTCTTCTCCTACCAGTGACGCGTTTTAGAAAGCAAAACCGTGAGGGGTTGTTGCCGTGCGGGGAAACCCCGGGGCAGCCCAGAGCGGACAATATCACGTGGGCGGCTCCCTAGTGCAGTTACCGGTCCAACAGAAAAAATATTTTTAATATTTACGATTTATACTTTTATAGTTATTTATTTATATATATACTATATATTTTGGGTTTAGGCTGTTCAAATTACACTGTATAATATGTTCTGAATTAATATGTTCTTGGGTGTTTTTGAAATATATATACACGTATTAATCCAACTTTAATATGAGTTTCTGGACAAGAAAGAGGGTAAGCAGTTGAAATTTCATTCTAAAACCTTTTTTTTTTTTTTGTCTTTTCATGGCTTATGATCTGTCAAATTTGTAGTATTCTTTATTGGTTTTGAGTGTTTATCTTAAAACTCAAGTTTCTTGGTTCTTTGCTGTAACGCCCCCAAAACCCCGTAGCAATGATATTGTCCGCTTTGACTAACTTGCCCGCTCAACCACAAAGCAGTAGCCGCACAGTTTTGTTTCTGGCAGCCGCACAACGCAAGCCCCAAAACACGTCATAATTTATCATGCATACAGTTTAAACAACACACTTCACAAAGCTAGTGGCGTACGAGAGATGACTACCTCACACAGTATTACCCGGCGAACTCACACAGCATGTCCGCACTTACGGCTTAGACAAACTCACAAAGCATGTTTGTCTTTATGGAATCATACCATAGTACATCCCCATTGCCACACGACATATTTCATAAAATAAGGCACGTTTTTACGCAAACATGATATTCAATTTTATAGAGAAAAATCCAGCAAGCTTGCATATAAATGTAAATAAAATGTGCAACCATTTTTTAGAAAAGTCACGTATAACTCACTATACATGGCGTAGCCCAAACCGATCTTTAATGTGGCTAGCGTCTCCCCGATTGGTGCCAAACTAGCTACGTTGAAGAGCAACGTCAACTCTCATTACAGCGTCCACCGTCGCCTTCTCTCACAGTAGTTCTCCTTCTTGACCCCAAGCTACACATAAAGCTACAAACTCCCATTTTATACTAAACCCCATCGACGGTTTCACGGAATATGAAACGATAAATCATGATTAATAGTCGTAGATTTCATGACCATTAGGTTTCCTGTCATTAAATTACATTTAGTTTCTTTTTTTTCTTTTTTTTTTGGGTTATTACATTTGCTCTTGGTGTAGATCGAACACATTTGTGGAGTCGTTTAAATATGTTGGATTTTAAATATATTGGATTTTAAACTGTCATACAATTTTTTTATCGATAGTCTGTAATTGGAACCATAACTCTTATTTATTCAAATTGTATTAATATGTAAAGACCAAGTGTAACATGTATCATCGTTAAATCTTATCTTATAAAACTAGTGAAACTTCAAAACCGTTAAAATTCATGGCTCCCGCCGCATTGCGCGGGTACACTACTAGTAGTTCATTAAGAGACAACATCTGAATTGTTAAGAGATGATATTGGTTTGATAAAAAAAAAGTTTACCTCTTAATGATTCTAAAACCATTTGAATAATTTTGTATCATGAGTCTCCCTTAACCATTCACCGCCCTAATCTTATTGTAAACAATTACCAAATAATTATATTTCATTTTTTACATTATATCATGAAAGTCTTTTAATCATTTTGCACCAAACCATTCAGCAATGGCCAAAGAATCCCTTAGTGTATGACAACTTCTTTCCCTTTTTAGAATGTTTTTATGTGTTCATAAAGTTGTATGTTTAGTTTTAATTTTTATTAAATTATATGGTATTCACAACATGTTCACAAACTATATCAAATATCATAGATCCACAATTGTTCACTTGTGTGCACAAGTAAAACAATATTTTAGTAGACTCAGGGTCTATCTAATAAACGATTACTCGATAAAATACTTAATGAGTCACTTTACCTTATCGGATGAACATGACAATGTTTGAGAATCTTACCCGATAAAAACGATGACAATGACAGCGGGTCTTATCCGGTAAGTAAGAGTGAAGACTCTTACCCGATAAGCATTTACTGGATTTGAACCTGAGACACTTGACATTGTTGACATCCTATAAACCCAATTTTATTGTAGTATCTGTTGTATTTTAAATGTGCTTGTCAATTAATCAACACAAGTTTATCTCAAAAAAAAAATACTTAAATCCCAAAGTTATCTATAGGTGTGTACTGGTTTTCATTTTTGTAACTGCCGAATATTTTAATTTCTAAAAACGAAGCATGACTTCATATATCTCGCAACACACTGCTGAACTCAATGCACATAATTTATATCTCATCTGTAAGAATCAACGGTTGAAATTTGTGATCCGTGAGATCAACAAAGCCATGATCCATGTCGCTTTTAACCAACCAATCAAATCAACCTAGATTGCGCTATATAACGTACTCAACATAGCCTCATTTCACGCACCAAAAAATTTAACTTTAGACCCCTTTTTCATCCAAATCTCCTTTGTTATCTCTTTTCCGATCTTTTCTGTGTCTCGCCACAAATGGCTGTCAAATCGTTGATCTTGAAAAAAGTGTCGATGGAAAACAACTCAAAGAACATCAATAGCCCCCCAACTGATGCACCAATGGTGGAAACAAGCAAGAAAAGACGGAAGAACAAGAAACAACCCGAGTCGTACAGAACCTACATCTTCAAGGTCCTGAAGGAGGTCCATGGGGACATTGGGATCTCCAACAAGGCGATGGAGATCATGAACTCGTTCGTAAATGACATGCTTGAGAAAATCGCTCAAGAAGCTTCTAAGCTTGCAAAGTACAACAAAAAGAATACAATGTCATCAAGGGATATTGAGACTGCGGTGAAGCTTGTGCTTCATGGAGAACTGGCTAAGCATGCTGTCCATGAAGGCAACAAGGCTGTGAAGCACTTTGACAAGTCTTAAGTAGACTTGCACTAGGGTGGTTTGAGTCTTTGTGGTGGCTGTAACAGCACAAAAGTAATGTAAATAAATCGGTGTCACAAAGAAGTTGATGTAAAGCTTAACTCAGATCAATATGGCACAATGGAATGGTAAACATAATCTTATCCTATCCATCTGATTGCTTGAGTATATCACTACAGTTCAGTCTTAAAAACAACATATAACAACGAATTTAACTGGTAAATCATGTTAGAACACCAAATAATGTAAACCAGTGTTCAAAATTGATACCCAGTGCCCAGATTAGGAAAGAGAGATAAATGGAGCGATTCAATGATCTTAAAGTCATCGAAAGTGAAAGAGTTGATTTTGCCAATCTAGTATATTCGTGAACGAAAGGGCGTGGTATAAATGAGTTGAATACGAGGGCCTGAATGGAAATTTACAAACCCTCCTCCGATCATCGTGGCTATGCAGGTTTCAAGATGAGAAAGAAATCATACCCTTAAGCTTTTCGAAAAAGGATATGGATCTAATCCTTATAGTTTAAAGAAATATGTAATTAGTGCAACTCTGTAAAATAATCATCTGTATAATTCAATATCATAAAAAAGTATGGTTACGATCATCAAAATCAGACCACCACCGCTAAAATGACGGTGGCGTGCAATTGTGGTCATATTAGGTCGTATGCTGAACTCACGATATTGGAGAGATCTTGTGAAATAAATATTTGCTATGTCCAAGATTGAGGTTAGAACATCTCCAACAGATTTTCTAAAATAAAAAAATGGGGTTTTTTGTTTTCTATTGTGTTCAACAAATTCTCTATATTGTTTCTTAAATTAGAAAAAAAACTCTAAAACTTGTTTGTAGAGGTAAATTAATTTTTAATTCATTTCGACTAATGAGATTGAATTGTTCTTATTTTTATATAATTTATTTTAAAAAATATATTAAGTTGATAAATTTATAAAATATTTTAATAATATAATAGATGTTGAAATCTCTAAAAATAGAGAATCTGTTGTTAGTAAAAGAAAATTTTAATTTATGTTATTTATCTTAGAGAAATCATAGATAGTTTGTTGGAGATGCTTATAATTTGTTCCATGACACACCAAACATGAGACTATTTATTTTTGTCTCATCTCGTCCCACCAAATTTGCATACCAAACGCACCCTAAAAAGGCTAGATCAAATGAATTTCTTGACATTCTATTGATGGATGGTACTTGATCGGTTTAATAATTTGGGGAAAAAGTCCTTTAATATTATTTATTTTTGTAATGATTAATATATATTATAAGATATTGATTTATCAGTCAAATATTATTTATGAGTTAAGATATTTTATTACCGTTGATTTTTTAATTATTATTAATTTAAAGATGAAAATCTCTTATTATCATTTTCACCGTAACTTTCTTTTTTATCGAAACTCAATCGTATCCTAATAAAAATCAAATGGGTTTTTATATTTAATTTTAATTTGAAAGAAACAAAGTACATATTAATAGGTGATTTAAATTAATTTTTGAATATTTTCAAGTAAACTTTACGGTTGACCGCCAAGAGTTTCGAGTAAAATGGTCAGAATCCACCGTCCAAGTTGCTCTCTGAAAATCAACGGCCAGAGATCATAATCCGTGTCTAAGATATCTAACCAATCACATTAATCATCTACAGCCTATATAAACATAACCCCCAGAAAAGCACCAACAACATCAAAAACCCCTTTCTCTTCCCCTTTCTGCATATCTCGATCCTTCGTTTCCTCGACTGTAGCAATGGCACCAAAGGCAGCAGCCGCAAAGAAACCAGTGGCGGAGAAAGCTCCGGCGGAGAAGAAGCCGAAAGCCGAGAAGAAGCTCCCAAAGGACGCATCTGCGGCGGGAGCGGACAAAAAGAAGAAGAAGCACAAGAAGTCGGTGGAGACTTACAAGATCTACATCTTCAAGGTTTTGAAGCAGGTTCATCCTGACATCGGGATCTCTAGCAAGGCGATGGGGATCATGAACTCGTTCATTAACGACATTTTCGAGAAGCTAGCACAGGAAGCTTCTAGACTCGCAAGGTACAACAAGAAGAACACTCTGTCGTCAAGGGAGATCCAGACTGCGGTGAGGCTTGTTCTTCCTGGTGAGTTGGCTAAACATGCTGTTTCTGAAGGTACCAAGGCTGTGACTAAATTTACTAGCGCTTAGAATGCCTTCGATTGTCGGTTTCGTTTTGAAATTAGGTTTTTGTTGATCTGGATTTTGTTATCTGATGTAATTACTGGAAACGATCTGGTATTGTTAAGAAATTAGAATGTTTGATTAATGGAATATCATAGTTGATCGTCTTACTTATGTTCTTTGAAATTTTAATCTTCGTGTATGGATTCTGGTTTTGTTTTCTCCGTAAAATGCTCCGGTTTCCGGCGACGTCCTTAGTCTCTTTGGAAATCATTTTCCGGCGAACTCAAATCAGAGTCACTGAAATAGAAATCGAACTATGATATAACAAATTCTGATTTGATAAAATCCTTTTAAAAAAAATATCATGTGGATTACACAAATGGTGTATTCGACGGAAACTAGTTTCATCATTTAAGCTTGGAATACACTTTTTTGCTTTATGATTTTTTTATCAATGTATTTGGTCGGTTGTTGTAAACAATACGATTTGAAGGTACAATAATTCAAATTTCCTTCTTTTGTTTTAATTGGCTGAACAAAAACAAAGGCAAGGGTCCGCTTACCTGTAACTCACTGGGTAATATTTTAGTTGATTGAAACAAAATTGTATGTAACAAATTTTCGGAAACTGTTGTAATTTTCAGTTATCGGGTAGAACTCTTTGTTATTGTGATTATTTTTTCTGTTATGGTTTTCAGTTCTTTGTTGTGTTCATCTCATATGGAATTGCCTTATCACATTAATAACCTTTTTTGTTTTTGATATGTATATATATATGTATGTATTTTTAGTAGAATATTTTCATAATGCAACGAGATATATTTTGTCTCAATCGATTAATAGGTTTTGAAAAAAACATTTATATAAACATTTATAGGTTTTGAAAAAAAAACGTTAACATTTCAAAATGTTGAAGTTTGTTAGGTTTTGTTACTTTTATCAGCGTGAAAATTGAAGTTAAAAATTTAGTTAAATTGACATTTTTGCTAACTAGATCTAGATGGATTAAAACTATCGAACATTCATATAACATGATGATGCGTGTTGTACCACTTATTTTTACCTATTACGTATACAAGCAATCAAATAAGCTTCATATATACAAGCATTCACTATGAGTTTACTACAAGCGGTAATTAAGGAATGTCGATGGACTATGGAGTGTTAACGAGTTACTAAGGTTGTTAGAGCAACTCCAATCGAACGGCAAAACCCTAATTTTGCCGTTCTTTTGGATCCAATCGCACGCCAAAAACACCAAAATTTTGCCGGAGGAAGGAAATGAACGGCAAATTTGCCGTGGAAGAGGTGGACGGCAAAAGGTTGGAGTTGAGTATCTTTTTGGTGTTAACGGGCCCACTTATTTGGTGTTTTTTTTAGCGTCAAGGTTGGAGTTGCCCTTAGAGATAGACATATGACTTCAATCAAATTCTATATATCTATCCATATTAATATTTAGAAAAAACTTAAAAGAGACTATTAAAATTCCAAGTTTAAAATAAAAATATGTTGGATTAGTAATTAAACTCTAATTTACAAAAAAAAAAAAAATTAAAAAAAAAAGTTGGTACAGTGCGGTATTAACGTGGTACATGACTTCTAATACCATGTATTAACCAAGTTTAGATAGTTGATACGGTACCACTAACCTATTAAATTGGTACCAACTTAAGACATTGTTTGACAAATATAGTTACTTTATAAGCTAACTTATAAGGTAGCTTATATTTTGGATGAATAGAATTTAGCTTATAAACTAACTTATTAAAACGATAGTTAAAGTTACTTAAGAGAATTTTTTTGTCATTTTTTTAATTATAATCCTCATTAATATTAGTTATTAATAAATTAAAATTAAAATAACAATTAAACAAAACAAAACAT